TTTTCATTGTGTCCTTTCTACACCATTGTACTATCCTGTACTAACTAAAACAGGCCTTATTATCCTGGGCTTGTTTCAATCATAATGTTGGTGTGATGATACAGTTCTTAGCAAGAGAACGGTATTATGGCATCAAGGCAATTAAAAAACAAAACAAAACTGTTCAAGTCTTAATGAAAATAGCTAATAAGTACATAAGTTGTCTTCTGACCGAGTCATAGATTCGACTTGGACTGCCTAGGCCTGAATCTTGGCTCTGCCACTTTATAGTCATGATCACGGGAAGTTTCTTAATTTCTCTGCTTTAGTTACCTCATCTATAAAATGTGGAATGTCATAGTCTCTCCCTCTTAGGTTTATTGTCAGAATTAAGTGACAAAGTTGGAACTGTGCCTGGCATATAAGCACTCAGTAGATGTCTGTGTATCATTATCATCATTCAACTTGGGTTTATTGAATACTTGCTCCATGCCAGGCCCTGGGCAATTCACTGCTCTACAAATTAAAGGACGTTGTCTTTGTCCTCCAGGAATTTACTGTCTGTAGGAGAGATCAGTGTAGAGTTTAATGATAGGTGTTATAAGACAAATGCAAGTTGTGGTAGCACAAGGGCCAAGTGATGGATTCTGTCCTGGGTGTAGCCTGGGGCCACTAGGAAGGAGGCAGAGAAGGTGATTGCTGAGTAGGTTTTGATTTAGGTGCAAGAGGCCAGGAGGTGCCTGACAGGCTGGAGGGGAGGCACTAATATGGGTCCCTAAGGGCACAGAGGAAGACTTGGAGAGCATGGAGCCTTTGGGAAACTCCAGGTAGTCCACAAGGCAGGATTGTCAGAGGAGGGAGGCGACATTGGAAGAGTGGTCCAGGGCTGGGTCTTGGTGGCCTTGCCCGAGCCCTGCTCAGGAGCTTAGACTCTGGACCACGTGAAGGCTCCAGGGAGCCAGGGAAGGCTTTTAGGCAAGGGGAATTACATGATCAGATTTACATTTTAGAAAATTAACTCTGGAACATAGTAGGGAGAAAGGATAGAGGTGAGGCTGCAGGGTGCAGGGGAGAAAGGATGGAGGTGAGGCTGCAAGGTGCAAGGGAGAGGCTGGAGGCAGGAAGCCTGGGAGACTCAGCGTATCGGGCACAGGATGATAGGGCTCAACTAAGGCCATGGGAGTGGCATGGAGGGAGAACATGGGATTTGAGGCATGATTTGGGGGCAAAACTGACCAGGTGGAGTAGGTGGGAGTGTGGGACAGAGGGTTAAAAGAGTTAGGGACGACTACTGGGTTTCTACGCCAGGTGACTGTGTAGATGGATGTCCCATGGGCCAGGGAGGGGAGAACAGGAAAGACAATTCGGGGAGAAAATGATGGGTTCAATTCTAGCATGCTGAATTGGAGGGCTTGGTTTACTTTGTTTTAGTGCCAGTTAAACAACCAGTTGAGACATCTTCAGCTCCAAAAGAGGTCTGAGTTGGAGCTGGTGATGGGGGAGACAGTCTGGGGAACACAGATGAGCAGGGAGGAGGGCTGGCGGGGGAGCCGAGGAACACCACCTCCAGGATGGACGGGGTCGCAGGAGACAGGGAGAGGCCCAGCCCCAGGGTCAGGTAGAGACCCAGAGGGCATGGAGCTGCCAGAGGAGAGTGACAGGCAGGAGGGCCCGGTGGTCCTGAGGAAGGTGAGGGCTAGGAGCCACAGGGAGTTGCTCATTGACCGGGTGAGAGCAGTGCCCTGGTGTGGAGGCAGCAAGTGCCAGAGAGCCGTCAACCTAAGAGTGGGTGAAAGGAGCGGAGCTTGGAGCAGCTTAGCTCTGATGGGGCAGAGACGGCATGGGAGTCAGCTGAGAACACAAAGGAAAAGCTCAGGTAGAAGTATGAGCCCCTGAGGGACCCTTGTCCTCTAACACAGTGGATACCCGCGGTCCAGGGATTGGGAAGGAAGAAGAATATGAAAGAAAGGTTTACTCTGGCAGCCCCAGTGTCCTCTGACCTAGACAAGGAGGTGGGCAGGGATTGAGGAAGGTCCTAAAAGTCTGGGCTAGTCACTGAGGGGAAAGGTTGATGGCCATGTCATGCCTCGGCTCCCCCAGATTCAGATTCCACTACGGGACTGAATATATGTTTTAGAAGCATGAGAGCATTTAGGTGTTTTTATCTTACTACGTACAAAGAAGAAAGACTGGAAAACTGTATTCCAAAATGTTAATAGTACTGATTTTTGGATGATAAAAATCAGAGGGTAGGTTTTTCCCTTTTAATTTTCTCTTGTCTGTAAATTATTTTTAAATCATGAACAAGTATTACTTAGGAAATGAGAAAAAAGCTCTGTCATTGGCCTCCTGGGTGCAATAATGTGGAAGCTTCAAGCCGTCCCCGTGAGATTGGTGGGGCCGGGTGGTGAAGGTAGAAGCTGTGTCTTCGCGCAGGAAGAAGTGTCTCCATGGGTCATCTGACTCCCTGCCGTCTATCCAGAATTGTGCAGAACAAAATTCCTTACCCTGAACGAGTAAGTTCTGAAATCTGTGGAGATGAGCCCAGAAGAGCTTATTCTTTAAAGAAGAAAAAAAGAGACTAGAAAGTGCTGTGTCGCAGATTCCTCAGTCTAGGGGGCTGGCCCGGCTGGTCTCTGGCTCTGCGAGAGAGGCTCCCTGGGCTGGTGGGGTCCTGCCTGGCTGAGACTGAGCTTCCAGGGGGTTTTCATGCAAATGAAGTCACTCGGAGGGGAAACTTTTGGAAAGGCTGCACTGCTGAGTGATGTCTCTGATCGTGGTCTGCCCGAGCGGGCGGTCCTGAGAGGAGCAGATGAGAGCTCCGGTGGCCTTGGCGCTGTGGGGCCCTTGTAGCCCTTTATGAAGGGGGTCTCCTGAGGTTTACAGCAAATTCTGGTGGCCGGTACCTTAAACACTAGACTGGAAAAAAACAAAAGTGGACCCTCATTTAGGAAAACAGCCACATTTCTTCATCTCCTTGGGGAAATGATGTTCCTTAGTGCTTTTCCCTTGTACATGTGACAGTAGCAACTTCCAGATGTGGGTCTGTGGCTTCAGGATCCACAAAAGGTCACACAATTGCATAAACTCAACTACTTATTCCATTAAAGAGAATTCAGAATAAGATCCTCTGGGGTTTTTTGCAATCCTGTCCTCTGCCGGAGCCAGTGCCCTTCCTAAGCCCCTTTTAAAATCCATTCGTCTGGGTGGTCTGGGCCCTGCCTTGCCTTTGTGAAGACTTCCAGACCCTGGCCCCTCACTGCTGCCTCAAAGGGACCCTCAGACATCTCAAGATAAGACGAGTCATAACACTTTGCTTACAAAATTCAGGAAAGTTAGTCACATTCCTACTTTGGTTAGCTAGCTCCTTCCTGAGTATATTTTTTGCTTTTTTTTTTAATTCCAGTTTTTTTGAGATAATAATTGACATATAACACTGTATAATTTTAAGATACACAGAATAATGATTTGGTTTACATACATCATGAAATTTTTATCACAATTAGTTTAGTATGCTCTGCATATCCTGCTGTGCTTGTTTTTTAAAATGAGTTTTTTCCTTATTGAAAATGCCACATGTTCATAATTTAAGAAATATAGTCGAGAAAATAAAAATTACGTGTGATTTTACTGCATGAAATAACCATTAACACTTTGGCATGGATCTGTGTGTGTGTGTGTATGTAGTCTTTACTAAAATGGACTTGTAGTCTACATACTGTTTAGGAATCTACTTATCCCTTTAAGAATCTGTCATACATGTTTCCAGTGTCTATAACTGTGTACTTTTATGGCATATTTAACGTTAAGAACTGCCTGCTAAATGGCGCAGGACATACCATATAGTCCTTGCCTACCAAAGTTTGTTTGCTTTTAGAATTTCTATGATAGGTGAGGAGGGTATAGCTCAGTGGTAGAGCGTGTGCTTAGCATGCATGAGGTCCTGGGTTCGATTGCCAGTACCTCCATTAAATAAATAAACCTAATTACCTCTCCCCAAAAGATAAAATGATAATAAAATTTCTATGATAGACTCTTCTGGCATCTGGCTGTATTTTGCAGACCAGATTTTTTTTTTCCACTTTTCTTTGAACTTTTAGAAAAAAATTTAATGAAATACTTGAGATAGTAGTTGAAAGGATGAAAAGGATAATATGATGACCACTCATGTATTCACCTCCCAGCTTCATAAATAAAACATTGCAAAGACAATGCATATAAGTCCAGTCATTATGCTCTATACCTTAGACTACACAGTGCTGTATGTCAGTTATGTCTCAGTAAAACGGGAAGTAAAATAAAAAAAATTGCAAAGACAAGTTAGCCTCTTTATACACCCCACCAGCCCTTCTTCCCACTCCCAGCCTCCCCACCACAGAGGTGATCATTATCCTGTGTCATGTCTTGTTTTCAGCATCTCAGTGCAGAGAGCAAGTTGAATATCTGAGGGCAGTGGCTCCCAGTTGCTTGTGGGTTCATAAGAAATAAACACAGATTACCAATCCTTCATAATAATAGTACTGGTAAAAAAATAAAATAGAGTAAAACTTGGTTCCAGTTTAAACAGCCCTTAGTAAAATTCAGAGCTGTGAATCTTGACCTGGGAAAGCTGGACTCTTAGACATGATGATCCCCAGTAGAAATGCACAAAGACCAAAGCTCTCACTGGGAAATCTAATGTGAGAAAAAAGTAGTGGGGAGTCGAATCCTTACTGTAATATTTACGTAAGAGAGAATGCATTCAATGAAAACAATTTTAGTAAAATGAAAAGAGAAAATTAGCAGGAGCAGTGAAGCTGTCCAGTGAGGAAAATCATTCACTTTTCCTCGTAGAAATTCTTTGTCAGTAACTTATCATCGGTGTTGGCATAACTCTGAACAGAGCCCGCGTGTCGTTGGGGTGAAAATGTCCTGTCAGTGTGTGTGGAGTTGTTGCTTTCACATGACTGTCACCTCTGTGAACCGTCTCAGAACTAAGGGAAGCCCTAGCCCGGCCCTGACACCTTTCCTCTTTCTTACAGGGGGCAGTGCCCAAAGGAAATGCCACTAAAGAATTCATTGAGAGTTTACAGCTGAAGCCGGGGCAGGTAGTGTACAAGTGTCCCAAGTGCTGCAGCATCAAGCCCGACCGCGCCCACCACTGCAGGTACGCATGTGCCGGCCCAGGATCCCCTACCCCACACCCACCCCAACACCCACTCTGGAGCAGACCCTCCCCCCATGGTGCCGTCAGCAGCAGGCCTTGTGAACATCCCCTGCTCCAGGTACGGAGTGACCGCTGTGACTCACCCTCCACATCTCCACAGGCTCCCTAGACGGGAAAGGCCGTTTGGTTTGGGCTCAGGACACCTGTTCCATGACTTGGCTTTGCCACACTTGCTGGAGGACCCTGCACGGATCCTTGCTTGTGTCCAGATCTGTGAGACTGGGGGGATTCCTGCTCTTCCCCTTCACAGCTTTATGACCTTATTAAGGCACATGAGACAAAGCTTTAGAAAATCATTCTGTGAACATCTAGCACTTGAAACATTTAAGAGGCAGGCCCGATTTCACTTAAATTAAGTTTTACAGGGAAATGGGGAAATGAAGGGATTGTCCTTGAAAGAAAAGAAAGACTTTTCTTTAAAACGAAACCTCTAGAGGTTGTGACAGCTGTAGAATCTGGCCAAAAAAGCTATTTCTCCATCTTATCTGTGATGATTTTTCTCTTTTGGTTTTCAGATTTGTTGTTTTGACTCTTATCGACAAAAAACATCTTATCTAAATATTGTACTTTATTAATACAAGGGAACTTTAAATACTAAATTAGAAATACAGACATGTCACTTGGTCCCTTTTTCAGACTTAAGGTGTGTGTTTGGGGTGGGGTTGGGAGGCACCCTTGTCAGCATGAGCGTGTGGAAGCATCTGGGTTTGGTGAGAGGTCCTGGTGGCTGAAAGGTGGCTTTTCTGTGTGGGCTTCACTGCCCACCTCGCAGAGGACGGTTGGTCTCAACATCCAGATGCTGTGGTCAGCTCCTGATACCTGCTGTGTCCAGGGCCCGGCAGCCCGGCCTGTCTCATCATTGTTGTCCTCATGGTCACCCAAGAGAGAGCTTTGCCATAGGAATGACTCTCCCTGCATGAGGAGTTAAGGTTCAGGGAGGTTAAGTGGCTGCTCCAAGGTTGCACAGAGAGACAGGATTGGGTTCCCGTGTTTCTGGCTCTGAGTCTGGGCTCTTTCTACTAGGGCTCCAGTTTGGAGATGACTTGTATAACTTAATGTAACCGTATGTAAGTTTTTCTGTCTGTCTGAGAGAGAGCAATCTGCAGACCTCCCCACCTAGTCACCACCTCTCAGGGATGAGGGCTGAGGAGGCTGAGCAGGCCCACGGGAATTGCCATTTCCTGTGGAGTATTCTGTCTGTGGGTCAGCTTGTTTCTGAGATCTGGGTTAGAAACTCATTTAAAGCTTTCTCGTGCCTGAGTCGGGGGCATCAGTCTCGCCTTTTCCTGTCACCCTGAGGCTTGGGAAGCCAGCTGTTTTCATCACCTGAATGATGTCATTCCTCAGTGCAGCCCCATGTGGCAGAGCAGCCTTGGAACTGGAGAGGTCAGCGCTGGAAGGGCCACACTGTCCCCGCCACACGGGGGGACGGTGGGCCAGACACCAAGTCTCTTAGAGCCTCGGCTTTCTCCTCTGTAGAAGGGGTTGTTCCTCCCTCGCTTGGGAGGATTAAACAGGAATAAGTGTGCGAGGCACTGGCTCAGTAAGCAGAAGCTATGTAAATGGAGGAACGTGTGAGCGTCGGGGGTGTGCTGGGTTTATACAGGCTAGACCAGAAAAAGGGAGGTGTCAACTTTACAGAAAGAACTCGGGTGACCACAGTGGTTCTTTTTACTTTCCTCCACCGCCTGGCATTTTCCTCACCGCCTCCTCGCCTTTCTCCCCAGGATGACGAGGGAGGTATTCTTGAGTGCTAGTAAACAGATCAGCTTGAGCTAAACAAGAGCTGCTGATTCAGATGAACTTGAGTGAGGATGCCTGTGCGTTGCCTGTTCCTGCCTCAGGAAATGTGTGCTGACAACTGCTCCTTTGTGATGGCTCGTGGTGGTCCAAGCCATCTGGGGACCCACAGTTTTGGATAAGCGGACTCCCCAGCACATCAGACAGAGCTGGGTCTGTGCTGGTTGAGCCGAGGGGCTTACTGCCCGGTTAGAGGAGGTTGGTGCCAGTCCTCCTGCTCAGGTGAAGGGGCAGATACGTGTTTGTGCCTAGCTGTTTGCTTCCCCTCCTCCCAGTAGAGTCCATAGGATTTAAACTCTTTCCCCTGAGCTCTGATGGGTCCCACAGCTACTCCCTGCCCTTGGACTTGTAGGTGTTCCTTCCAGCCCGGTGGTACATGGGTGGGTCTTCCTTTCAAGCAGGCTGCTTTCATTCTGGCATTGAGGACCATGGAAGCATGTGGAAATCCTTGGGGTGGGGGATGATACGCTGATGTGGACCGCCAAGGGTTTAGGCTTATACGTTAGGTTCTTGCACAAGACTTTGGCAAAGCCTCACACCCCTGCCCACCCCCAAAAACACACACACGCTGAGGCTGAGTCCATCGTGGACTGCCTAGGGCTCCTGCCACATTCTTGTCTTTCTTGTGGTCATAGTTGCTGATAAATTTATATCAGACTAGTATTGGATTTAGAGCATTTTACACACATCACCCTTGACCCTGGGAGAGCAGGGCTAGTTCTGCAGAGGGTGGTTTGGAGAAGCTAAGTTTCTTTGCCCAGAGTCCAAAGTGATCTGAGAGCCATGTTCTCTCCAATACCCTGCACTGCCTCACCCTACCTGGTTTCTGAGCCAGGGCCAGCATGCTGTAGATGCCTTTTTTGCTTGTAATTTTCATCATAGCGAGTGAGGTGTGAGATGAAAACCAGTATGTGGAGCATGGTCCCTTTGGTACCTTTTTGCTATGTCTTCTCTTTCTCTACTGGGGCATCCCAGCCTGAGGTGGTGGAGCCCGTTTCCCCATCTACAGTGTCAGAGCCTTCACTCCACGGACCCTCACTAAGCGGGGCCCCGGACTTGGCTCTGGGCTCTAGTGGTGGATGAGACATGGCCCTGACCCCGGGGTCTCCCGCCCAGGCAGGGCAGAGGCACTTGTCCACCACGATACAGTTTGGCAAGTGCCGCTGTAGGGAGAGGACACAGGGCTATCACTCTGGGTGGGCAAGAGGACCTCAGCCTGCTCCTTGGAGGCTGAGGGCCAAGGAAGGGCCTTGTACCTCCCTGGAGAGGCAGCACAAGCCCAAAAGAACCTGAATGCCCGGGAGCTGGGGAACTTGTTGGATTTTTCCAGGCTTATGAAGGAAGTACTTTGGTGCCTGAAAATGGTAGGGGGCCTGGAGGAAGATGGGAGGGGATGCTCGCTCTCTCATAAAACCAGGATTTAAAACAGTGGGAGCTGCCTGGGAAACCCTGAAGTCAGGAACCCCAAAATACCTCTAGTTAGGATGTCTGGTCTTTTCAGTGACCCTCATTGCATGCTTAGGACATCCCGGTACCCTGGGAGCTCAGCAGCCCCCAGCATCTTCTTGTGAGACACTCGAGTTGGTACAGGGAGGAGGCCCAGAGAAGGTGGATTTTGCCAGGTGGCGAGAGTGGAGAGAGGCCCTCAGGAGCCTGCTGTGGCTACTATGCGGGGCTGCCCTGCTGTGTCTGGGGAGGGGACACCGCTGAGCCCTGCCCACCGTGCTGTGGGGGCTGGAAGGAAGGCCAGCTCTGAGGTGACTGATTCTCAGAGGGATGTCGGGGTATGACAGGCTCACATTTTGTCTTCCTCCTCGTAAGGGATGGTGCTCGTGGTGGAGAGCTAGCAGGATGTGGGCAGTCCCACCCGGGCCTGGGCATCCTTCACTCGGCCCACTCAGGGACCCACCCGCAGGCGTTGCCCTCAGTGTTCCCCAGCCCCAGAGCCGTTCAGGCTGGGTGTCTGTGAACTATGGGTGAATCAGCCTCTGAATAGTGCCCCCAGCCACATGCATGGATGGACCTTCCCCAACCACACGCGCCACCCCCGGCCCAGAAGTCTGCTTCTGAACAACTCTGTAAGCCGGAGGGAGATGTGCCATCTTGGCTTCCATGTCTTTGCAAATAGGAAGCTCGGAGAGCAGCATGTTGGACAACTTTGGCAGCTCTCAGTGGGCTGTACGCTGCCCAGCTTCTTGAAGGATGAATAGTTTTCTAATTTGGCTGCCCAGTGAGTCTTACCCCATTGTGAAGCCCACCCTCCCAGGGTTCACACCTGGCGTCTTCAGACAGGCTGGGAGGGGAGAGCAAGGACGGATTTGCCGTGAGCACTTGCTTAAACTCTTGGACAGCTTTCGGAGGATGTCAGGCCATTGGCACCACTCTGCTGCTGAGCAAACACTGCCTCCACGCACCCACTTGAAACCCCTTTCAGAAATAAGTGCAGGTAGAAGAGAAACTGCTCAAGAGCTCAGGGCAGGGGAGTGGTTACCCTCAGCAGTTCCCCAGGCAGGAAGAGGTTCAGAGACCCCAGAGCTGAGAAAGGACATGCAAGAAATGGGCTATAGGGGTGGCTCCACATGGGAATGTGGTGGCCGAGGTCCAGGACACAGGGAGCAGCCCCCTCCTTACTGCCTATTTGTCTGTACTTTCAAGGTTATATATGGGGAACAAGCATTATTTATTTTATCTTTAAAATTTTCTTAATTGATAACAGAGGGGGGGATATGACTGGGTAGTGGAGTTGCTGGTACCTGGCTTTCTCTTTATGTCCTTCCACGTCCCTTTCTTCCATCCTCTTCTTACCCTAGCTTTCTGGCTCCCAAGGAGATTCTGGAGCTGGATCAACATCTCTGAAATGTGCCCATTCCCCATGCACCTGTGTTAGCATGGCCCCTTGAACTTGTGGAAAGAACAAGGGTGGAGACCAGAATGACTCCCTGACTCGTCTGAGCCAGGCCCAGTATCTGTTCTCACATTTCCTTCTAACAGTACTTATGTCCTGTACGTGGGGAACCTGAGGCTTGGCATTCAGCCAGTCTGACCAAGGTAGCTGCTCAGTGGATCCAGGCTTGCCTTGCCACCAGAGCTCATGCTGTGCTTAGAAAAAGCCCTGCCTCCCCCTTGGGGTGTGGGAGTGCCCTCCCTCAGAGTGGTCTGGGCTTCCTGGCCTTTAGTCTGGGAACAGCACCCCCCTTCCTCGCTGTCCCTGTCCTGCCAGTGGGCCAGCCAGAGCTCAGGAAGCACCATGTGTGAGCACAAGACTGCCTTGTCCTCTCAGCAGGGCCCCGAGCCAACCCTTCCTGCAGGGTCCGTCCATCATAGCACAGCGCACTTCAGTGAGAATCTGAGATAAAGTTAGTTATGGGAACTAGTAGAAAGAAAAGCTTAAAAAAAAAAAACTAATCCTGTTATTTCCAAGCTTGTATTTATAGTATTTCAAACTGTTTTGAACAAATAATGCCCCCAAGATAAATGTTAGGGAGCCTATTTTAATGGATTGGAAAAGGCTCATCAAAAATTGTTCCTATCTGTTGGCAAATGGGTCTTTCTGAGCTGCAGCTTTGGGAGTAGTTGTTTTCGAGCCCCTATTAGCCTTGTACTCTTGTTTCAGATTCTTATTTCTATCACCCAAAAACGGGTGGGGAGGGCGTTTGCTGTTAAATATCAAAACTTGAAAGAGTCACAATCCAAAAATGATGCCAATAACAAGTTAGTAATTTGCAGATTAATGGGATTTGTGATCAACACTTAAGCTCAATTGACTTTTCTGCTATTTTCAGCCAAGTGGCCATTATCTTAGAGCTAAAAGGCTCCTTGAGGGGGACTTCCTGACACCCTGTGACACCTGCACTTGCCCCCACTCTGAACTCTTCCAGACTCTCCCGTCAGCCACACCCCTAGGAAGTTCCACCTAGCCTGCCCTCAGGGTTTTGGTCTTTGAGAGGAAATGAGGAGCGGCTGTATCCCATCTCATCCTGTCAAGTTTTTGAAACTGCTTCTTCATTCTGACCTCTGAGTAAACGAAATTCTCAGCCCACTGTTACCTCAGGAGAGCGGCCTCTTTCTCAGCCATGTCAGTTTCAGCCTATTTCTCTGTTAAACCAGAGGCCTTGGAGGTGGATGACTGTCCCCCTGGTTGGGATGACTGTGACCCTGGGTGTCCTGGCCCTGCCTTCCAAGCCCTTGAACACATACCCAGCAAAACACCAGGCTGTGCTTAAGAGGCCACTTCTGAGGAGTGGCACTGATGTGTGGGTTCTGAGTCCCCTTGGGTCCTCCTGCCTCCGTGAGGACCCTCAACCCCCCAAAGGTCTGCCTTGCGGCTCTTTCAGTGTTTGTAAGCGGTGCATTCGGAAGATGGACCACCACTGTCCCTGGGTCAATAACTGTGTCGGCGAGAACAACCAGAAGTACTTCGTCCTGTTTACAGTAAGTCAGCTTCCGAATTCTGCCCCACCCTCCATGAAGCAACGGAGCGCTCAATTCCTTTGAAAATTCCCAGCACTCACAATGTTCTGTGCTGCTGTTCAGAATACTGCCTGGCCATGTAGACCCCACCTTTCTGCCAGAGCCCTCCTTGGTTCCTCGAGTGCCTGCTTCTAAGCCCTTCCCTTGAGCGTCTGGAAGACTGACTCGAGCTGATTAGCTTCGAGCAAGGGCTGTGTTCTGGGCTCCCATCCCAGATGTCCAGTCTAAGTAGCTAAAGAAGGTGGTTTGGCTGATGACAGCAGACCCTCCCTCAGCTGCAGGTAGGTGGAGTGTATTTAGAGTGAGGGCTGGAGGGGCCGTTGGCAGTCAGTGCTGGCTTTTCAGGCAAGTCGCAGGCCTGGAGCCCCCGAGCAGCCTGGGTCACACGTGGTGACACGCACGTTTCTGCTTTTGTTCCACACGCTCCCCATGAATGGCTGCTCACCTCAGACCTGGGGCTGGGGGCGTGGGACCGGTGGGGGAATCACCAGATGCCTCTCTGGCCCTCGTCCTGGCCAGCCCTCAGCCTAAGTGTTCCTGAGTGGGAGGTTCTGAGCATCCCAGCCCGGGAGCCTCCATGGCCAGAAGGTCCTCACAACAATGGCGTCTGCACTGCTTTCCTGTTTCAGATGTACATAGCTCTCATTTCCTTGCACGCCCTCATCATGGTGGGATTCCACTTCCTGCATTGCTTTGAAGAAGATTGGACAAGTGAGTATGTGCCAGGGCTTCCCTTCTTGCTCCGGGGGGTGTGTGACCCGAGCGGGGTGGGCTCTTTATTTCCGTCCTGGTGCCAGGGGCCAACCTCATTTTATTAGATCTCCTGCAAGCCTTTGGACTGACCAGGAAAGAAACAGCAGAGGTCCGAATCTTTCTTCACGAAAAAAAGCAGCCCCTTAAAGTCAGTTCCACAGGTAAAGTAGTGAGTTGGACAGACCCTCTAGCCTGAGTGTGCCCAGGGGGAGTGCAGGCCCCCAGCAAGGAGGCGCGTTCCCCAGAGTGGGGGCCAAGCCAGCAGAGCTCTTACTTCTGTATCTTAAAGCAAGGCACTTTAATTGAAGGGCTTCTTATTCCAACCTTAGGGAAATCCATTTTTAACTTTCTGGCTAGGACGTGGATGGTTTTGTTAATTTGATTTTTTTGTGGTTATTGTTTTTTAACTGCTTAATCACCAATTTACATTAAGATTATAGACAAATTCTTCCTACTTTTAGAGTATCTCATTTAAATGTTCAAATGCTGAGGAAGACAGCATAAATCCTAAGCTAAAAAATAAATACTATTTTAAAAAGTTTAAGAATAAAAAGTTAAATTTTTTAATACAGTAGTCTCCACTTGCCTGCAGGGGATGTATTCCACGGCTCCCAGTGGATGCCTGAACCTCGGATAGCACTGAACTAGATAGTACTATGTATACTATGTTTTTTCCTATACATATATGCCTAGGGTTTAAGTTTACTTTATACATTAGGTACAGTAAGAGAGTATCTGAGTCGCAGGCATCACTGGTCTTGCACTTTGGGGCCATTGTTAAGTAGATTAAGGGTTACTTGAACACAAGCACTGATCCCACGGTAGTCAGTTTGGCTCACGTCCCAGTGGGACAGAGCAGGACAGCATGAGATTTCGTCTTGCTCCTCAGACAGTCTGCACTTTAAAACTTACCATTTGTTTATTTCTGGAATTTTTCATTTAATATTTTTGGACCGAGGTTGACCACAGGTAACAGAAACTGCAGAAAGGGAAGCAGAAGATGGGGGAACTACTGTAGATAACTGGAGGAATTAAGCGAGGCCACCTGCTGGGCTGCATCTTTCCCCCCTGCAAGCTGTGAGATGAGTGTCTTGAGCAGAAACGTCATATATTCACTCTTCCCATTTGATGATCCTTTCATCATCTTTTAGAAGTTTTGCTCTTCCTGCACATACTGACTTCTTAGGCATTTTCTTGCTATTATTTTCCCCAGATCTTGAGAGGCTGTGAAAAGGACAGTATCTTTAGCTCCCAACCGGATATTAAGAGGCCTTCCCTGCCTCTATTCATTGTTCACATGCCCCCTTCTGTCTCCCTGCCCCTGCCCCCAGCTCTGCCTGGCTTGACCTCATCCTAGGGGAGGAGAGCCTCAGGTGTGTTAGTCACCTCAGGCTGCCATAGCAACATGCCATAGACTGGGAGGCTTAAGGTTTATTTCTCATAGTTCTGGAGGCTGGAAAGTCCAAGATCAAGATGCCAGCTGATTCTGTTCCTCATAAGGCCCCTTTTCCTGGCTTGCAGACAGCCATCTCCGCCTCTGTCCTCACATGGCAGAGAGAGAAGTAAGCTCTCTGGTGTCTCTTTTTATAAGGGCACTAATCTTATCACAAGGGCCCCACCCTCACTACCTCTTCCAACCCTCTGCCTCCCAAAGGCCCCATTTCCAAATAACACCACATTGTGTGTGTTAGGGCTTCAGCATATGAACTGAGGGGGCGGTTCACAGTTTAGTCCATAGCATCATGTCTCTTCACTCTCGTGACCACCACCGTTCTGGCACAAGCCAAAGAGGGGAGGTCAGGCTATTAGACAGTGTTGGAGACGAGGAGAGGGTGGGGCGAGGGGATTTCTGCAGATGATGCCATTTGGGATAGTTGGGCACATCGCCAGCAGGTTCCTTGGTGAGCAGCTGAATGTGCACTCACCTTGCTAGGCCCTGGGGATCCAGTTCAGCTCCACATGTGGCCTGGCGACGTGGTAGAGGAGTCCAGCAAGGATACTGTTTCATCTCAGATGTAACTCACCTGTCGTCGGGTTAACAGACGTGGCAGTGATGAGAGTCATGTGGTGTGTTGATGGGGCAGTGGAGCTAGCAGGGGCCATTTTATTAATACTGCAAAGAGCACACAGGTCTTTTGAGATGGTCCTTATTTCAACCTTACAACAAACCTGCCAGGTAGGGAAGATGCATCCCGTTTTGCAGATGACAGCAGCTAGGGCTCACAGAGAATGAGCCAGTTCCCCAGTCGTGTGGCTAAGAGGAGGGCCTGCGATCCAAGCCTCAGAGCGGAGCAGTCAGTCCTGCCCTGCCTGGAAGGCTCCAGAGTCTTCCCCGCGTGCTCTGGATTGTCTTTGGTCAGCGTTCCTGATGGAGGTGGCTTGAGGCACCCAGTTCCTGTGGCAGCAGGCTGGGAAGGTACTGGACAGTCCCGAGTGGAGGCCTGAGAGTTGGCTGGATATGCCAGTTCCTACCGTCGCTGCCCAGCCCTGGATGAGCTGAGGGGGCAATCCAGCGTGTGTAAGCAGTGTGCCCCAGGGTGATGTTCAGAGAAGGGTAGGGAGGTAGTTCCACGTTCCTAAAATCTGGTTCCTGCCTCTCCAAGCTTCGTTTATAGTTCCTGGGGCAGCCCATGAGAGGGAAGACACTGGCAACTGTGCAAGGATGGAGGACAGGCCACAGCTTCAGGGCAGCTGCTGTGGGTCAGGAGGGAGCAAAGGAGCACCCCCTGCCGCGTGCTCGTGGGAGGCCAAGGCCGAGTTGTGCAAAGTTTCTCTCGTGGGTTCTCAGTCATCCCCCTGTGCAGAAGGGACAGCTACTTCTTGCCCAGATTCTTTAGTTGTCAGGCACTGCACCAAGGCTAGTTGGACAGCAGTGAGCCAAACGAAGTCCCTGCCCTCCTGGAGCCTAGGGGTGTAGTAGGAGGAGCAGATACCAAGCAGGAACAGGAAGGAACAGGTGATTCCTGGTGCATGGGATAGGAATGACACCAGGGCTGGAACAGAACATTAGAGCTCATGGTCAGGAGTTGGTGCGGATCCATCCCCCGGCGTCTGCCTGACCTCAGAGACCTTGTCCTGCCCACAGCCCTGCCCGGCCCAGAAGCCAGGCAGGCAGCTGACCCAGCGGTGGCCACCCAGGGCCAGCCCGTCAGCCTGCTGAGCCACCCTAGCCCCGCCCTGCCCAGCAAAGAACCCAGAAGGGAATGCATGAGGAAGTGGTAACTTCTGAGGGAAAGGTGAGGCGATGAGGCATTTAGACGCGATGTTCTTACCCTGCCACCCATTCAATGCCAGTTTCTCCGCAAGCTCAGTCCCAGATTTAACCCCCTTTCCCACTCCTGACGTTCCTGTGAGGGAGCCAGCAGGGCAGCTCAGAGGGTCACTTTGAATCCCCAAAGCCCAGTGAAGTCCAGCTCTGCCCTGCAGGATCGGACCCTCCCAACAGGGGAACAGGCCCAAGCGCTGGAACAGCCAGAAACGTGGGCCGCAGCCCGGGTGTGACAGGCCTGGTGACTGTCGGCAAGGGCAGGCGTCCTTGGGTAGCAAGTGCCCACCAGGGGGCCTACACCGTGCTGCCAGTGCCACCAGCTAGGGCCCCCTTCTTCCCGGGCGGTCCAGGGCTCTCCTGAGAAGCTGCCTTGGTGGTGAAGATCCAGAGAAGGGGTCCCCTCCCCACTCGCCCCCGACCGTCTCCCTCAGCACCTCTGTTTTTCTCTCAGTGAGTTGGGTTTCTGACTAGACTTTGTGCAGACAAGGGACTCTGCCTAAAATAAAACCACACATCTGTCAAACCTTGCTGTAGTGGCCTGGTAGCAGGGGCCGGGGAGTGAAGGTGCCTGCTCCAGGCCAGGTGGCTCTTCTGTTGACTCCCCAGCTTCAGGACTGACAGTCTTCATGATGCACATGCTCCCGAGAGGGGCCTTCCCCGTGGAGCTTACCTCACACCTGGGTCAGGGCCGAGCCCTGGCAGGTAGACTGCCCCCACCAAGCTTCAGAGCCCAAAGCCACTGAGAGATGCTCCTCTTCCCCCTGGTGTAGGAGCAGATAGAGGCACAGGAATGCCCAGAAAACGCACAGCCAGACCAGGGCTGGACTGAAGCCCTCCCTGCTGTTCAACCTGCGTTTTGCTCTCTGAGGAGAGGAGGGTCTCCCTGTGGTGTCAACAGGCCTTCGTGGAGTCTTTTCTGGGTCCTTCCATGTGCTGTGCGCCATGCTTGGCACCAGAATACAGACCTCCACGCTGGCAGGGAAGAGAGACAAAGGATGATATGTTAGGGAGGGGAAGCCTAAGAAGGCCTGGCCCGCCAGGGAGGGCTTCCCCAAGGGAGAGCTGGTGCAGCCAGGTGTGGGGCAGGACAGTCCCCGCCACAGCCTGGAGGCCAGAGAGGCGTAGCGCCTAGGAGGAGCCTGGGCCCGGGGGGCTAGAGACAGAGTGGAGTCCAGGGTGCGGAGCTGGCAGCCCTGAGCCCGCGTGTCCCGTCTCTTGCAGAGTGCAGCTCCTTCTCGCCGCCCACCACGGTGATCCTCCTCATCCTGCTGTGCTTTGAGGGGCTGCTCTTCCTCATTTTCACGTCGGTGATGTTCGGGACCCAGGTTCACTCCATCTGCACGGACGAAACGGTAAGCTGACAGCCTGCCCAGCACTTGTCTCCACAGCTGGGGTAGAGGAGGGCTGCTCACAGACCCGACCTGGGAGTCCAGTGGCCAGCCAAGGTGTGCAGGGCACATTCCACTGTCCATACCAACACTGGATCTTCACACACACACGAGTCCTACCCACTTGGGGCTGGCACTCAGGTCACACCAGGAATGGGCCCCAGCAGCCTCCATGAGGAATTCCTTTTGCCACAAGCCCTTCCATCCTCCCGTGATGGTCCTGTCTTGTACACAGCACTGTGTCAGGCATTCTGCTGGGCACTGGGATGCCCTTCCCATCCAGTGGCCACAGCCCTGGGGAGAGGTGGTGGACCAAGAGCACCCGGACCCAGGTGGCACAGGCAGGGTCAGCTGCCCAGAGGAGGTGCCTTCATGACCAGGTCCTGAGGGCAGAGTCAGGAGACAGCCCAGCTTGGGCCCCCGGGAGCATCGGGCAACAAGGCCTGGCCTGGCCCCTAGGTCACCTCAGCTTGGGCCATCTCTGTTCCCCGTCTGTTACCTTCTCCCAGCCCCTATGTGCCCCCCTGCTCACAGCTTCTCTGGGAGCTTGGAAGCTGCTGGCGCAGCCACTGCCAGCTCACTCCCCTGGTGCCACTGCTGCTACCTCTCAGCCTTCCTAAGGTGTCCAGACGCCTCGAGGTTGTCAGTCCATGCCTGTGGTTTGGGCATTTCTTCCCTTTTTGGCTTTGGGGTCCGAGGAAGGGGCCCTAGAAGGAAGGGGAAGCTCTTAGCTCTGAGGTGAGGCACAGAGTTCTGAGGTCATGAGTCTGTCCTGGCAGCCTGAGGTCGCCTTCAGGTGGCAGTTCTCAACAGTCATCTAGGGGCCTTGTGAGGGGACTTCGGCCGTTTGAGTGGTCAGCCCTAGATGGAGACTCGTAGGAAAACATAGTTTTCGCCGCTGCTGCTGAGGCCACGTCCCTGTGGGTGTGGAAAATCAGCGTGCAGAGAAGGGGGGGGGGATGATGTTCCCGATGGTTGAGGAGGTTGGGGGCCTCTTGGCACCTTTTCTTCTGTTAGAAGCAGTAGCCAGTGCTGTAGATCCAGCTGTGTATCCAAGCAATGTGTTACCAACTTCTCTGCGTAAGGCCTACAGGGAACCCAGAGGTGACTGGCCCTCCCACTGTTGGGACACCGCCAGGCCACACAGGCCGTGGTCTGGGGGAGCCAGAAGGCAAACTCTCACAGCCCTGGTTGTTCTTTCCCCTCAAGACCATTCCTAAAGGGAGTCGTGCTGAAAGAACAGGAGAACGGAGCCGAGGGCCTGCAGCTTGTGGGAAAGTGTGTCTTGCCCTTGACCTGTGTGGTCCCAGGGCGCTGGGCTGTGAACAGAGACTCGGACTGGGCCGTCCCCTGGGGCCCCACGCTTGCTCCCCGCCTCACAGAGACCACGGCAGACAGACCCTGGCCAGGCTACCGCCAGGCTGCCGCTCTCCTGCCCTCCGGCCCCGCTCGCTGACCAGATCTTTACTGAGGAGGGACCAGCTCGATCCCTGGGCCCCGGGGGTGGTGCAGGCTCTGTGACAGCTGCTGAGGTGGCCTTGGGTTGCACTTTTCCCCAGAGGAGCACAGGAAAGCCTCTGCCGGGACTGGGGCTGAGGCTGAGCGGTCTGTCTGTTCGGTCCCTCTACCCTGTACTAATCACTCTCCTCCCTCCTCTGTGGTGACCTCTCCCTCCTGTTCCACCTTCTCCTTGGCGCCTCGCCAGCCCCGCCAAGCAGGGCACCCCTTGGCCTCCCAAGCTGGCAGGACTAACTGCACCAGAGCAGTCGTTTGACTTGTTCCTTTTTTTTTGTCTGCAAAGTGGTCATAGTAGGTTCAGACTTCCCATGAACCGATCTCAAATTAACGGCTATCCTTGGCCATCATGATCTTGAGCCCCCCTCCATCTCTGAGGCTCCCTGCGCCCCAGCCTTCACAGCGCTCCCTGCACACAGCCCAGCCCCGGGCGGGAAGTGCCTCTGCAGAGACCCGACAAGGACTCGCTTAACACCACACACCGGATCGCATAAGTAGGAGCAGTGGCTTAGGGGCCTGCTGACCTTGCTGATTTGTCCCTCCCTCTCTGGACGGACTTATACATATATGCCTGTGTGCCCACCCTCCCCCGCAAAAACATGATTCTTTAAAACACTTTTTATGAGAGAAAGAGAAGAAAAATGTACTACATAGATAGCTTTATGGCTTTAAAAAGGAAGCATTTACTCTACCTCAAGCTAATGGATATCTCTCCCCCCAAACCCCAGCAATGAAGTGCTTGACTGAAAGTATGATTGTTCTTGTTTTCAGGGAATAGAACAATTGAAAAAGGAAGAGAGAAGATGGGCTAAAAAAACAAAATGGATGAACATGAAAGCCGTTTTTGGCCACCCCTTCTCTCTAGGCTGGGCCAGCCCCTTTGCCACGCCAGACCAAGGGAAGGCAGACCCGTACCAGTATGTGGTCTGAAGGACCCCTGACCAGCATTGCCACTCAGACACAAACCACATCCCAGCACTACCATCCTATCCGTTCTCATGAATGTCTAAACCGAAAAAGCAAAACAACTACTCTAAAACTTTTTTTTAATGTCTCAAGTTCAAGTAAAATGGCTGAGCATTGCAGAGAAAAAAAAATTTCCCTATGTTTTATTTTTAAAAGATCATCCTTTCTATTTTTTTGGTGACTGAAGCTGCTCTTCTTTTTTCCTTTTTAAAATCACTTCTCTGGCCTCTGGTTTCCTCTCTGCTGTCTGTCTGGCATGACTAACGTGGAAGGCGCTGTCTCCAGGCCATGCCCCCTTGTACTAACTGAGTCGTGACACTTGTGCGTGGATGGACCAGCCTGGATGCCCAGTTGGGGACACATAGGACAGCCAGGAGGGCCTGGGACTCCCCCTGCCCAGGAGGCAGTGGTGGGCACCCTGATGGGACTTAAAACCTCACTGAACATGGATGCTTATCGCTTGTGGCATGAGAGGGCCGGGATCAGGGCTGGAGCCCTAAGAAGGGCCCTGAACACGGCAGCCTCAGCCCCCATGTGAACATGACTCGCCTCCTAATTCCCAAAATCAATTGCCTGCCTTGTACTTTATGGGCCCCGGCTGTGTAGAATGACTCTGGGGGTCGTGGGGTGGAGATGAAAGGGGTCTTATTTGTATTCTGAATCACGAATTATATTCCAACTGATTATTTGGAAGAATGTGAAGGAAAGAAGTTTTTCCAGTTCAAAATGCCTTACACAATCAAAAGAAGAAGAAAATTACACAATTTCAGGCAAGCTACGTTTTCCTTTGCTACAGTCTGCTGACTCTCTTACCGCCCCCTCCCTCCCTCTCGTAGCAAGCGTGTTACCGCTCAGTGAAACAGCCACAGTCCTACCGTCAGCCCCTTCCTCGTTTTGTAAATCTCTGCAGTGGGTTCACTTTGTGAGATTTTTAGACCCATAAATGTGGACATACCCATGTTTGGTCTATATTTTAACCTGGGAGACTGTGGTCCTGGTGCAGGGCTGACCTCGATGCGAAGAAGTTGAGAGATGGCCATCCTGTCCACTGGAATTGGCACTTGAGTCTGCAGCGCCAAGACCGAGCTTTTCCATGTGCACACTGGTGTGTAGAGCCTCATCTGGAGAAGGAAAGGCCTGAAGACAGCACTGGGGAGGGGAGGCGGAGTGCGCATCAAATGCAGAAATCGCAGAAGTCCGAATACCTACCCTCAGTGACTTCTCACACTTCTCACGTGGATTTGTTTTTTAAGCCATCACCACAGACCTTTTTTTAATCCTTTGCTTGGGTGGGGTGGGGGTAAGGTTTATCAAATCAGCCCTGGGTGGGGAGAGGGCTCATCTAGCCTTGTGATCTTTCAGAAGAATAAGTGGAACATGCTGCCTCTTTTCAATTCTGTACGTGCTTCCACGTGGAAACAAAACGCAATAAAATTTTTCCAAAACCTATTCTGACTGAGCTCTGCTCTCTCACAGCGTTGCCCGGCGGGGAGAGCCGGTTGTCCAGGCCAACCAGAGCATGCTCTGTCGGGGCGTTTGTTTCATTGCTTTTAAAGGCCATTTATGTGTGCTCCCTCTCTTGAGTGAAGTTTTTATTGGGTCACATCTACAGGACGTTTATGGCCCCCTCCTGGACAAGCTGGACCCGCCGGGCCTCTCTCCTCTGGCTTTCTCTCTGCAGCCTGAGTCCCTTCCCTCATCCTCATGGGCTCCCAATTGCTACAGAATAACTCATCAAGTCTGCAGAGTTGGCTTCTAGGCTTGGGTCTGGGGAAGAGACCCATTCTCCTCTGCCCCACCCAGCGGAAAGCAGAGTCAGAGGAAATCACTGGACACTTCTCCAAACATCCTAGGGCGCCGCTTTGAGGAGCTCTCCACCATCCCCTGGATGTTTAACCAAAGAACCCTGCGACCTTTTCTAAATCAGTTAACTTTGACCTGCCTCTGCTGTACTATTTATGCCATAGTCAAGGCTGACATCTGAACTTTTTTTTAATGCTGTTTTTAAATCTAGTTTATACCATTTTTTTACCCACGTGTCTTCTTCTTTTTTCTTTTTTTGTTTATGAAAAGTGTGGCTGTTGAAGGATTCTCGAGCAGTTGGAAGACTCTGGCTCTGCTCCTGCCCCTCAGGGATCCAGCCCTTGGGAGACAGTGCTTTAGTTCTGTTCCTCCTGCCAAGGAAGGGAGACTAGGACTCAGGGAATATTTTTAAGTCTTTGGATGCTTCACAATACCCCATCTTCAAAGGCATTTTTTTTTTAAAGTGACCCAAGTTGGTTCTTTCCCCCATGGAGTTTCAAAAGAATGCAGCAGATCTTGCTGAAGATGTATTGAACTTTCTTTCAAATCCTAAAAATAGAAACTCATCATTTACACCTGAGCCTAGCACTTATATCCTCAGTCTCCCTCCCACATCCTGTATGATTCTACCTCTGGGTTTTTACGAGCCCTTTGGCTGAAGGAATGAATTTTCCCCAGTT